TTGATGACATTTCTAGGCCTTATTATACTGACATTTTTCATGACATTTTTGTGCCGTATTATGCCAATATTTTTTTTATGTTTCATTCCTTAATATACTATGACATTTTTTCACGTTTTATGCATTACTATACTATGACCTTATTTGACGTTTTATGCATTAATATGTTATGATGTTTTTTTCACATTTTCTGTCTTAGTATACAATGACATTTTTTAAAATGTTTTTATGCCTTATTACACTATGATGTTTTATGCCTTACTATACTGTTGCGTTTTATGATGTCTTAAGACTTAAGCCTTAATACAGTACATTTAATGCCATACTATACAGAAATATTTTATTCCTTAATATACTATCACATTTTTTTGACATTTTTATGCTTTACTTTATAGTATGATGCTTTATGCCTTACTATACTATGACATTTTTGACGTTTCTATGCCTTACCATATATGACTTTTTATTTCTATCTCTACTATGATATTTTTATGTCTTACTATACTATATCTTCTTCTATGCCTTACTATAGTATGACTGAACAATTACACAAATTATTTGTTTAGAAGTTAAGTGTTTTTGCTTCATTGAGTTTGATTCTTTCTTAAATTCTTATTTTTCTTTAATATTTAATTAGTTTTGTTTGATACGAATCTGATTTCGTAAAAAATGGACACCTCACTTGTTCCAGCTATTTAGTTTTAACGATTTAACATAAGAATCTTACACGTTGGACATATCTCCTGAATCTTCCTTGATGTAGATGAATGTAAACAGCTGAAAGTCTGTTGTAAAACAGAGGAACATTAAGAACGGAAGATTCTTTTTACTTTGTTTGACTACATTATTAAATTGGATTCAGAATGGCATCTTTTTTCCTGATACATTAGCAAATAAAACAACTTTTAGCCTGATGTATTGACCCACAGCCCACATACTCAATACATTTCTAAATGAATGTGGATAGGATGCCTCTTTACTGCAGTGTTTGTCTTCTTTATGGTTTATATAAACTTAGGTTTATATTAAATTACACCTATTAAATAGGTGTTATTTAATAGGGTGAAGAAACAAGCTTTGAGAAGATTTTTTTTTTCAATTAGTAAGAAATACACCTCATCATACCTTTATTCAGTGAGTTGGATTGGATTGTTAGTGTATAAATGTGACTATTGTGGAAGTGAATGTTTATGGAGGTTTATGGAGGTCCAACCAGAATACAGGGCCAGGAACAAATGTTACATAAAGCCTTTGACTCTTGGTGTTATAAACAGATTTGGGACAAAATGAACTAATGTGAACATTGTGCGTCCCCTCTGGGAGTATGAGCAGGAGACAAAAACATCGCTCCAGGTGTTTTCCAGCTGCTGCTGAGGAGGAAAGAAGAGGAGAAACACAGCTGCAGAGTAACAGAAAGTAACAAAAGTCCACAAACAAAATACTTGTTTGTTAAAATCCAATTTATTCATCCCTGATATACAAAACAATGTTTCATTTTTCTGTGTGAAAAATAGCTCTGGATTTTGTTCAGCTCTGTCTGGTTTGGCCTCGGGGGGTTTGCCGTAGTGGGGGCGTCCAGTATGTACAACGTACAGTTCCTAAGAGCCCTACGGAGTGGATAAAAGATCCCCTCAACAGCTGATGTGAGATCAGGTCTTATCAAAACCCCTCAGACTGAACGAGAGGATCAAGGGGAGCGTGATAAAACTGACCCGGCGTCAGCGCTTTGGGGGTTCATGTAAGAGAGCGCCAGCTACGGTCCATGCAGCAGGATTCACCAGAGAGTCTTTTAAGACCAGACGGAGAAGGTTTCCCAAAAGCCAAAACAAGGAGTCAAAGCTGTTTTTCTACGTGAACCGAACACCTAAAGGAGTAAACAGCGTCTTAAATATTTCAAATGCTGACTCTAGTGCTTTCACCGAGGCTTCTGGGAAACCTTCCCCCTTTAAACCAAACTTCACTTTATCACACTCGAGCTCCTGTGGTGTGAGCGTCAGTTCTCCTCATATACATACATCTTTTTACACTTTTCAGGTTTCTTTACAAAAATAAGGTTATCTTGCATTCACGTCATCAATTAAAACTGGATTACAAAGTGAGATGAACAACCGTTATTGCACAAATTGATTACCAACAAGTAGATCACCCATAAAAAGAATGAAAAAACAACAAAATTTCTACTTTTGATTAATACAGACTAATAAATATGCATCTACCTCGGTCTATATCTGTCTGGTAGCAAATGAAATGAAATATTCAGAGGAGTCCGTGGAGGGGGAGGAAGGCTGCGGCTGAAGGCAGAGTAATGAAAATCGATGAAAAGCACAAACAAATGAACAGAACCAAATCAGACGAGTGGATCTCGGTCAGTCCCTGGTGTGAGGGAGAGTGAGAGAGGGGGAGCAGGGTGGCGGTGTGTGTGTGCGTGTTTGTAAGACGACGACAACAGGTTGCCATGGTGATAATTGCACACATCATCCACCCTGCTTCCACATTTGTATTTGTATTTGTGGAAAAGTGCCTCGTCTGCATGACTAGAAAGAAAGCAAATAGATCCCAACACTTGGGTGCCGATTTGCTTATTCCTGTTGATAAAGAAGAGGAAAGTTGATGCAGGCACTTGTGGAATGAACATGCTAACGCTAACAGACCACACGCTCAGATCGCCCTGGCCTCACAGTTACATTCCTTCTGCTTTTCCTATCAGGCAGCCACTGCCAGCCTTCACCCCAATAGTGTATTTTGCAATTTACAAATAAACCTCTTAGTAGAAATGTTTCAGACAGCATGTCAACAAAAACAAAAAAAAACAAAACAATAAAGGACAGCATGAAAATCAACATTAAAAATCATCAAATGTGAACAAAACAATACATCACATAACAAGCCCTAAAATTTAAGATTGGTTAAGACATTAAATTATGATTTTATATTACAGGAATGATGTTAAATATATTAATCTGTAAGTATAACTCTGCTAACCCAAAGACCACACCCCCAGTTTACATCAGGCAACAGATAAAGCTCATTGGGTGAACTGAAGATGCCAATCAAAGTGTTGCGATAAGTGTAAAGATACATAAGTAATAACAAGCAGGCACAAGATGGCAGACGTAAAACGACATCATTCACGCGTCCGGTTTTCATTTTCTGTCAAGCGTTTGTTTTTGGTACAGTTTGATCACATAAAACAAATCCACATGCACTCTCTCATGCAAAGCCATGCCGTTTTACTGTGAGAGTTTTACCTTCAGTAAGACAAGACAGCACCGAAAGTAAAATCCATGCAATGCATCATTAAGCTGAGTGTGAGTGAGTTCTTAAGGCATCCAAACAGTAGCGCAAAGTCTGAGGGGGAAAAAAAAAAAACAGAAAACAGAAAATAAAAAATACACACAAGAAGAGGAGCGTGTCTTAAAGGACGTACAGTACACAGGCAAGATCAGTAAAAAAAATGGAAGTGGAAGTGGAAAAGATGGAGGAGGATGGAGGAGAGGGAAAACAAATCAATGTGTTTCTGTCGATGAGCAGAGAGCGCGCTGACGAGCCTCCAGCTTTATAGCAGACATGAATTTTTAAATACACAGTACTTATACGTTATCTGTCATGTCAGGCTGCTCGCTGAGTCAGAACCCACTCTGCTGTCAAAACAAATGGCTGGACTTCCTGGTTTAAACATCCACGCTGGGCGAATAGCAGCAGTGCTAATCTTATGTACTAATGGCTTCCCATTGGTCACTTGGGTGAATTTTACTTCCTTATTGGTCAGTTATGGATTTCCTTTAGTGTTTCTACTGGTCCACATTAATCAAGCTGATTCTGCTCACATACTGTCATCTAGTGCTGCACATGTCGTGACCAGTGTCTGCCTCCTCAGCCCTGCACCATTACATCATAGAGCCGGTTAGCTTAGCTAACATGGCGATCAAGGGCAGATTGATGAGAGGGCCCAGAGCAGCTGCTTAGGCAATGATGTCTTCATTCTTTCAGCCATCCATTTGCTCCCTGCTCTTCCTCCCTCCCCTCGCTTCCTGCCCTCTCCACCCGCCCCAACCTCCTCTGGAACGGTTATTAAGAGCTATATTTAGATAAGCAGAAAACCTCCGCTCTCGGAGTGCATCGCCACGGAGCGTTTGTGTGTGTTTCTTACGTGTCTTTGTGATGCGAGGCTGCGGCTACAGTATGAGAGGAGTGCCGACGTTATGAAAAAGGGGGCTACAGGTGCTTCCGCCGCTGCCAACAGGCATGTCTGCTTGCATAGACTGTACTCTCAACCTGACCATTAAGACTCGCGCTGACGAGATGAGAAGAGCAAAGGAAAAGAGGAATAATGGAAGCTGGAAAAACACAGAAAACTAAGGCATCTGTCCCTGTATGAGTTCAACGCTCGACAGTGGGTGAAACGTTACAAAGAAATGGCAAATTCCAGTTAAAACCCAGACCACCTGATCAGTCAGAAATTAAATTAATCAAGCTGGAAAACAAAGATTGAAATGTGTTCTAACGGCAATAAAAAAACAAACAAACGTATAAGAAATAGTCGTTTGCTACCTCCTTCGTCATGCACGCTCACATTTTCTCGGTTCACGCACTCACACTTACAGTACACACATACTTTATTCTTCCTTGTCATCATTGCTGAATTTCTCTGCTCAAGTGGAAGACTCGTTCAAAAGAAAAACTCCTGCAGGTTTCAAACTCTGATCTCAACTCTAAAGATACATGAGCTAAAAAAACATCCCTTTTTTTAAAGATTTCAGCCCAGTCCCAGTCTCTCTGTTGGTTTCCACCAACATGCGTCTTTTTTTTTTTCCCTCCTCCCTAATCCACATTCGCTCTGCTGTGGGTTCCCGAGGGAAAACGGAGAGCAGGGCACAGGTTGAGTTGTGTTCCACCCTCCTGTGGAGTGTCTGGCTTGGTCAGTGCAAGGCTCCAGGAGAAAAGTGGGGGGGGGGGGTCCGTGAAGCAGAGTGATGGTGGAGGGGGAGAGAGGAGTAGATGAGGAGTTGAGAGGAGGCTGGCATAACAGGAGAACTCTTTCCAGAATTAAATATTGATCCTAAGCCCTGAGGATTTTTTGCATGTTTGTGGCTTTGGGGGGGTTAAAGACCTCAATGCCTCACTCCTCCTCCTCTTCCTCCACCTGCTCTTCATCCTCCTCCTCCTCCTCTTCCTCTACTTTCCCTCACTGGGATTTCTCGTCGGACTCGGAGGGGGTGTGTTCACGGGGCAGCGACATGGACTTGTGGCGGTCCCACAGCTTGTGGAGCTCGGTGGCCTCGTTCTCACTGCTGCTGGTGCCGCTGTCGCGGAAGCTGGCCAGAGGAGGACGCACCTTCACACCTTTCACCGTCACTGAGCCCTCGATGGCCTTACGAAGCTGGAGGAGGAAAGACAAGCCAGTTAGAAAAGTCCAGGAACTCATACAGGTAATGAAGCCATGTTCCCTTTTCACAGCTTAATGAATCACGACTTACAGCCCAGAAATGGTCACACACAGATGTGGTAACGCGCATGGACCCTCGCAGACATGAGCAGACGACAAAAGTGGCGTCATATCTGCTTCAGTATTTCACCAAAAACTTTCCACTGGGTTGTTGAAGATGAAAGCCAATCACTGCACCAGATTTCACTAAGATTTCCTCATTGTTATAAAGAAACGTTTGCCATCAGAAAAAGTGATGTTATGATGCTATAATCACATGGAAAATCTATAGATTACTCGAGCTAATTATCAGGTTTTGCAGAACACCAGTGGGTAAGTGCCAATTTTATCTCCCACCACTAGAAAAGGTTTTGTAACAGCCTTTGAAATATACCCAACACAGTTCATAGATAGATATGAAATAAAAACATCATAGTTTTCCATACAACCCCCAAAAATGGAGCCAATTAAGATCAAAGATACATTTAAAATTCAGATAATATAGCCTCAATCTGTAAAAGTGTTCTGCAATTATAGAATCATTTCTGATGGCAAAAAATTCTGTATAATAAAACTGAAAAGTGGTGAAATATCTCCATTGCCTTCAGCTCCTCACCACACCATCTTTTTTTTTTTTTAAAGCTTCCACTCGGACTAGGATTCAAGAATTTTTAACATATGGAGGAGACACGAGACAACACCAGAACATCTGATTCACAAAAGATTAAATTCAAGATACTGACACCTAAATTCATCAAACAAGATAAAACTGCAATGGAAAAGAGTCCAATTACTTAAGCTCTTAATACAGTATTAGAATCATATATTTCACTCTCCAGAGCTGTGGCTCCACTGTGGTGCATTTAAATCAGTTTTATATATAAAATACACTGTTCTGTACGAGGGTTTATCCACAGTGGCTCTCATCCTCTGCGTGAACGGCCCCGGTGGAAATGGAAGTGCTAACCCCGACACTGCTCCACAGTCTAAGATCATGTCAGCGGTTTACCGTCTCATTCACAGGCACACAAGCCAATTTCTGAGCTGGAAAAATGTAATGGGGGGGTGGGGGGTGGTCTAATGGTCAGAGGGCGGCGTGCACCGGAGAGTGAGGTCACAGTGACTCTGACGTTTGCTGAAAACACTTCACGGAGGAGAGAGAGAGAGAGAGAGAGAGAGAGAGAGGCGGAAACGACTGCACATTTATTAATCTCTGTGCCGCCTACTCACAGCACAAATGTAAGTGGATAAAAACTGACCACACACAGGGTCAGACCCGCCTCCGCCACAGAACATACTGCAGGTCATCAACGCTGACACTTCATCAGAGGAAATCAAAGTGGCTGAGACTGAACCAACTTTATTTTTGGTAAAGTGAGCACAGGAAGTTGAGTTTGATTCCTGCTTGTCTTTTGTTTGAAAGCACCACCTATATTGGAACTTCTAATATACCAGCACCATGTGGTCCTTGTCAGCCCAGACTCCTCAGATGAATCATGAGAAGGTACAGAAGCTTACTAACTAGCTATTTGAATTTTAGATTCAGCTATGACTATTTCAAAAAGAAGGACTGCGCTTCTGTTTATTTGCATGTGTTGTGATTCTTTTTGCAGCGCGTGTGTTTTTCGAATGGATGAAGATGTTTTCTGAATTTGCAGCATCTTTGTGTTCGTCTATTTGCATGCGTTTTCTTAAGTTGCGGTGCGTTGAGATCTCAGGGCCGCCGTCGCAGGGGAAGGACACGCAGCAAAGAGTCCAGTCAGCCAGGAGTCGAACTCGCCGCTCGGGGGCATCTGCGCCCACATGGTGCGGCGTCGCACTAAAATTACGTATATTTAATGATTAGAATGAGTTGGGTTTATTTTGGCTTCTAAAATAATTATCTTTACATTTGAATGTGTATTATTCCTGAAATGGTGTGAAAGTGATTTGCGATTCTTTATAGCCTCTTTCATCCCATCACTCGTTTCTCTTTGTGTGAGACAGCATTATTGAATTTTTCTGTTTTGCCAAGTTTGTCATTTGGCTGATGAGGTGAAAGATTTCTACAGATCCTGCGGCAGCACTGAAAAGAAAAAATGTGCTGCAGGGAGGAAATAAACCTCCCGATGATCCCTCTCCTCTATATGGACCAGAGAGGCTGTGATGTGATATAACAGCATGTCTGCAGGCTGGGGGGGGGGGGGTTGTGTCTGCTGGTAGAACGTAGAACAAAAACAGACTAAATGTCAGGGACAGGCGAACAGCACTGCACTTAGCAACAATCCTCTCGCCACTTCCTGGCCGATACACAAAGAGGGAGGGGGGGGGGGTTTCAGTTGTTTGTGAGGAAGGAGAGGGAGAGGGAGAGGGAGAGGGAGAGGGAGAGGGAGAGGGAGAGGGAGAGGGAGAGGGAGAGGGAGAGGGAGAGGGAGAGGGAGAGGGAGAGGGAGAGGGAGAGGGAGAGGGAGAGGGAGAGGGAGAGGGAGAGGGAGAGGGAGAGGGAGAGGGAGAGGGAGAGGGAGAGGGAGAGGGAGAGGGAGAGGGAGAGGGAGAGGGAGAGGGAGAGGGAGAGGGAGAGGGAGAGGGAGAGGGAGAGGGAGAGGGAGAGGGAGAGGGAGAGGGAGAGGGAGAGGAGAACAGACAAGAGAGACAACAGAAAGAGACAGCAATATTAAGCAGCCTTTTGTCTGTCACAGTACATAAAAGGCAGAGGGAGGAGGAATCGATGTTGATTGAAATGCCTTTGTGTGTGTGTGTGTGTGTGTGTGTGTGCAGCGCGGTGACAGCACTCACTGATGATACTGACAGTGATTTTACAGTAACAAAAGCGGTGAATATGCTGCCTGTGTAAATGATGACAGTCACGACTTTTTACATGAAGCTGGGATCAAAAAATTCACACACACACACAAAAAAAAAAAACGGATGTGGATTCAAGACTACTAAAGAATCTTACTTCTTTGAGGGAAACCACCCCGATGAGACGTCCAATGCTGGTGACGTAGGCGTGGTCGAGGCCCAGCAGGGAGAAGATGGTGTGGGTCTGTGGGAGAACAGCAGAGGTGGTTGGAAACAATTAAAAAAAAACAAAAAAAAAACCCCAGTACGAACCAAGCGACAATAAAGCGGCGGGTTCCTGCTTTAAAAAGGAAATGAGGCTCCATTTGGGAAATGCACCGCTGACTTCAATTATCCAACAATGACAAGTTCATTCACACTGGATTCATTCAGCTCGTCAAATATTCAGCTAAATGGGAAACGATCACTTCGGGAAATGTGACACAGGGACATTCAGAGTGTTTCAGCTGGAACAGTAGCAGTGATCTGAGCAGAACAGGATGAAGGGAAAAGACTGAAGTAGATTGTGGCAGAGAGCCGCCATCTTTATCGGGGCAAGAAATGAGTTCACAAAGACAACAACATGGTTTTAACAGCCAATCAGAGACCGGTGCATTAGATAACAACCCACACCTGTCGAGTAGCTAAAATAAGCTGTGTCCCAATTCAGGGTCGCATCCTCCGTCACCCAAACTATCCCATGATTAATTGTGCGTCGACAATGACAACAAAAGGGCAGCAAACAACGTCAACAGAGAGCCTGAGGATTACACTTTTAAATGTAAGTATTATGTCTCAGTTGTCAAGGTTGCTGGGCGACAGGAGCAGCACTTTGTGCCAGACTGCCTCATTTCGGTTCAGCCTTTGCGGATCTACGACGTCTACAAAGGCCACACCTCCGAGGATGCGGCCCCTGAATTGGGACGCAGCTAAAGCTCATGAGTTAGATCGACTCTAATAGTGTGTTGGAGGCCAAATAATCAAGGTGAGATATAGAAACAGAGGATTAATAAAACAGGAAAAAGTGAAGTGAACGCAAAAAAGATACGACTGAGAATCAACTTTTAAATGAAGTAGGAGCCTTTTTGATTCCTGGAGTTAAACCTTCTAAATTAACAATTTTTGCATATTCATAAGAAGGAAAAGAATTTTAACAAAGTCTAAAGGGGATGTTAAAGGTTTCGTATTGATGTACAGACTCCAGCTGCAGGCTGCACACGTATTTGTCTCTAAAATGAAACAATATGATTCATTTCTGTGCAACAACAAAAACAGCAATGCTCAGACGTTCTGTGAATACTGAGGTCGTCATTATGTTGTTGTTGGTGTCATTCATGTCTTCATTCTTACATTTCTACTTTAACGTTCACATGGTGAGAAATGTCGGTTTTCTATGATCCTCTGACCCCGTTTTGCTCTATTTATACCTCTCTGTCCTATTAGCGCTGCATTTGCTGATGCGATTACTCAGTTTCCCCACAGGAGTCATTAAAGTTTCATTTAATCTCGTCTTCACCACTAGAGTAACCGTGGAGGAGTGTGGGCTGTGTGCAGCTCAAACCAAAACCAGGGAGTGGAGAGTTGAAAACTTCAGCCGGGGGGGGTTAGAAAGGTCGCAGGACTGATGCCAACTGGACTTTTTGTTCTGGACCCTTTTAGCGTTTAATGGGACTCTGCTTGGCCAGAGTAGACATTTGGGACATTTAAAATTGATCCCATTGTGCCAAGCAAACAGACGCTGGGCCAAGGAAAAGATTGTTAAGTGTTTTTAGGCAAAGGCCAGGTGTAATGTAATCTGCCCCCCCCCCCCACAGGGGGATATTGTAGCCTCTCTGGGGACGGTGTCAGCTCACCTCCACTTCAACCCATTCACATCTATTTCAGCTGCTATTCACTGATTAAAGGTGTCATCAATAGTGCTTTGGCAACGACTTGTCAATTGGTGTTTGTCCTCTTTAATCAGAAAGTGAAAATATTTTACACATTATGGAATGGGGATTATGGGAAATGTGGTCTTAAATTGGAGAAGCACTGCCACCACCAGGAACTATATACAGCACAGTGCCTCCACCATTACACACTGAAACAGGATCCCGCGGGGTCGAGTCACCCAAATGACCAAAAACACATTTACATGTCTGGCCCAGGCTTTGACATATGTCAGGCACTGACCCAACACAGTGGGGGTGAATAGATTTTATTTTTTTTATGGTGCTCATAGTGACGAATAAAGGAATAAGTCAAAATTTTGGGAAATATTCGCACAGTTTAACATGTTATATCTGTATTTTTTATGCACTGTAAATTTGATTTAATGGTTTTATGGTTTCATTACTTCATAGCTCTTTTTTATAATTATTTATGTTTTACATGTTATTTAACACGACGGGCAATATTTACACATCTCTACGGAGAAATCTTTATATCTCTATTCTATTTTGTCATTACTTACTGTTCAGTCAGTGTCATGTAACACAAATCTCCCTTTGGGGACAATGAAGTATATCTTCTCTTATCTTACTTTTTAACACCTTATATTTGAACTATCTTCATGTGAAGTGATGTTTGTGAATTCACTTTACTCTTATCTTATCTTATTTTATCTTTTAACACCCCTTTATTTGAACTACCTTCGTATGAAGTGATGTCTGTGTTTCTCTGTGTGTCTGGCACTTTGTTTCTGGAAAGAAAGGTTTTTTTAATATAGTCTTTCATTGTTTTTGGTGCCAGAAATAATATTTCATTCCCCTCCATTGTATGTGACTCAAGGCAGAAATCTCAGACACAGATGTCTGAGCACATCAGCTCCACACTCCCTTCATGACCAGATGTCATTGGAGAATAGGTGACGAACATGACATTTTACTTTAATTCATCACCTAGCTGTACATTTATTTTGTAATGTAAGTAAACCAACCCTCTACTGATAATTATATTTTTTTATATGATACTTGTCATTTGAAGAAAATGATGGAACAGCGCTCTGCTCTGACGTCCGTTATCCACCACCTCAAATGAACTGGCAGCAGCCTCGGGCCAAAACCCAAAGAAACATATTTTAATTTAAATATTCCAAGAAAATAGATTTTGTTTGTTATATAAGGGTCCGCAGACGCACAAGAACAACAAGAGTAAGGAGCATGGGATAAATGGCGGCCAGATTCGGAGAGGCCGAGTGAGAGAGAAAGACACACACACACACACACACACACACATACACACACACACACACACGGCTGTATACAGCGTTGGTGGAGGGCGGTGTTTAATATGCTGAGGGAGATTGTGCGTGGTATTGGCTTTTGGCAATGTGCAGCGGAGGGAGGGGAGCGAGATGGATTGGTGCAGGATCCCTCTCTTAAATGTTTAAAGAGTGTTCACACAGAGCCCAGAGGACAAGAGGGGGTGGGGGGGCGTATGGCGTACAGCAGGTAACATTATGAATGGAGGACATTAGGCAGTGCCACAGCCGCCGGCAAACCAGAACGTCACAGTGTGTGTGTGTGTGTGTGTGTGTGTGTATGTGTGTGTGTATGATTGGTGGGAAGCGAGTGTTAAAACACTGTGTGGGTGTTTGGGTGTGTGACTGTGCTGCAGTAAGAAAACTAAAGCTGGACAAGCTCTGACGAGCTAAAGCTCCTTTCATGATGCTGTTCGTTCACACAGAGGGAGAAACTCGGCCAGAGTGTGTGAACTTGTTGTTCTGCGGTTAATTCTGGTTTGGAAACTATCGTTGTGAGGACCGTTCAATAACAATAACGCGTCTCATCAACACGAGAATCATCACTGAGGTTAAGAGAAACCCAGCAGTGTTTGATAAAACATACAGTATTTATATAAAGTCTCTAACAAGAAGAACATCTGGGACGCAATCATCGGGCTCAGAATCAGTGTTTTAAGTGAGAGCGCGTCGTGTGCTTGGTGTATTGGAAGTGGTGAAAGTTTCCTTCCTTCCAGGTGCTTTTGTTCGTATTGGGAATGAAGCTGGCCTCACATTGATACACTAAACTTGATGTTTTTTAAAGTAATAAAGAATTTCTGACATAAAAATGCTGAAGATGTTATTAGTAAATTTCCCAGCCTTGGTATGTTTTGTTTACCTTCTACCACCCACTCTTCCACCCACAGGGTGCCAGCACTGATGAATGTCTGGACTGTTATAGCATTAAGACAAGTTATGAATATGAACTGTATATATCAAGGGATTACACTAATTTTCAAAAAGAACAATGTATGACAGAGTTTACCACTGAAAATCATGGTGTCTTCTTACCTTTAAAGTAGGCTGGCAGTCAAGAGGTTGTCCATTTGTTTTAATTTGGGCTCACCATGTTTATAAAGGCCTAGTTTTTGAGAGGTTAATTGGTTTTAAGCAAGTAAACTTGTTTATTCTTTGCTGTTTCAGACCTGTAAAAAAACATAACATAACTTCAAATAACTCAATTGTTGACTTTTAGTGTAAAATTATAGTCACATGAATCCTTGTTGCAGGATGGGGGACTACTTTGAATCAATTTGTTATTGCACATCTGAGCGAACAAAACCGACGCAGGGTTCCCCAGGGCTCTGTTCTTGGGCCTCTTCTGCTCACTGTCCTCATATTCTCATTATCTCGGATGATGGAAAGCAACAAATTATTTTACTATAATGATGCGGCTGACACACGTTTACATGGCAATATCTACAAATGACTTATACGTTTACAGTATGGTGTTTTTATACAGGGCTGAAACAGCTTGTTGATGTACAAAACAAAAAAAGAATAAACAAGTTTACCTGCTTAAACCAATTAACCCTTTAAAAACAAGTACTTTATAAACATGGTCAAACAAATGGACAACCTCTTTTAGATCTTTTTAAAATGTATTTGGACATCTAATTTTTTGACTGCCAGACTGCTTTAAAGGTCAAAAGACACCATGTTTTCTAGTGGTAAAGTCTGTCACACATCATTCTTTTATGAGATGTTGCCAATTTTATAATCTGTTTTTATACTGTTTTCTTATTGTGTTTTTTACTTCTATTTTTTATTCTATCTTCTATTGTGCTTCTTTTATTTCCGTTAAGCACATTGAATGACCTCTGTGCACGATAATAATGTGCTATATAAATAAATTCACCTTGCCTACAGATACATTATGTTCTGTCGAGACCTTTGAGAGGCTCTAGTACATTCAGTTGTTATGCACCACATATGTGTACAAAGTTCTTTTGAATAAAGGCTTCAAACTTTTCTGTTTGTTTTGTTTTCTCAGTATTATTCAGTTTTGCTTTATTTTATCTCCTGTTTCTATTTTAAATCCCATTCATGTGTCTTTTTATAGTCATATGCTTCTTTTTTTTTTCCTTATGTAAGGCACTTTGTATTGCCTCGTTGTTTGGCCTTGTGGGGTGCTTCACCAATGAACTTGACTAAATCAATGAATAACTGCTGATGCACATGTTCCCATAATTGAAGCAGTGTGATCATACTCAATCGGATTCAGAGGTATCACTGTTTTATCAGTGTGAATAACCTGAAACACAACACTAAAGACACACAGCTAGTAGCAAAGGATGCACATTAGAGACACACACACTGAGGTTGAACAGCAGCTGTATTTGCAATCAGACCTTGTGCAGCGACGTGCGTTCCACCAGCTGGAACGGGGCGGGGTCGATCTTGCAGTTGTTGAAGTTGACCTGCTCATCAAGCTGCTTCTCCTCCCATTCTGCAATCTGCAAAACACACAGAGGAAAGAAATGAGCGACGAGAGTTAAACATCACTAAAGACAAAAAATTAAAGGACTTTCTTGATCAATTAATACAGAGGTAATCAAATAAACTGCATCATATCCAACCGTAACAGAAGTAGATGACACTGACTTGATGTTGACTCCCAGTGCTACAGCCTGGCTTTGTTTGGGCCAAACATTTATTTTTTGATTGACTACAAACCTTGGAGTGACAGACAGAGTGTGTAATAGAGGCTGTTAACAGATGATGTCTTTATGTCTGGTGTCAGTCACTAATCAGAAGTCAAAGCCACTGAATAATCCCATACAACCTCCTGACAAATCACCTCCCTCTGATAGACAATCAATGGACCGGACACCGCACTGAACGACTCTATAAATCATACGAGACCCACAACGATGGACGGCGGTGAAGAGTGAATGGCGAACGATAAAGGGAGAAGCAGCGAGGAACGATGACACGGCAGATGTATGAGAGGAGAACGGTGAGTGAGTCTGAAGAAAGAACAAAAAAAAAAAAAGAAGAGGCGATGGAGGTGCAAAGTGTGAGGAATGTGCGGCTGACAGAGAGGAAATGAGAGGTGCTGTTGATGGATGAATTATGAATGATGTCATATCCAAAAATATAAGACTCCAGGGTAATCTATCCGTCTGGGGATATTGAGGAATCTGAAAAACAGAAGCGTGATGTCACCGAGCGCACGCTGAGGTTCGAGTTGGACAAAAAACAGGTTTTTGAAGGTAAGGCTCTTTTTCTTACCGTCAACAAATCCCATCAAGACACCAAAACTAACTATGAATTAAACATGATCTATCTTATTCCTTACTGCCCAAAAAATATCACAAACATCAGTGAACCAGACTGATGCAGTGGGTGACGTTCATTAACATGCACCCTGTTGCGTGTATGATGTTTTTTTCCCTGCAGCCTGAAAGCGAGTGCATGACGTGTGAAAGTGTGCGTGTATGCGAATACGTGTGTGCCGGGACGAGGAGGGGATTGGTGGACAACTGCTGCTGCTGATTGGCTCCTGGCAGATGTCTTCGTCAAATATAAGGAACAAAGATGGCGCGGCCGAGCTGCAAGGGGAGAAAACTCATCTACCTCCTGTCAGGCCTCACTGTTGTCTATACCTGAGCAGCCGCGTCTAGAGCTTTGTGGTATTTGAAAGTTAGAAGGGATGGACGGCCATTTTCTTTGTCCACCTTTTCTACAGTTTTAGTTAGTTATGGAGGTTAGCTGTTGTTGTAATCTGGTTTTGTTATATTTGGGCAGGTTATGTCGGTGTTTTGTTTCTAGATAGATTTGTTTTGTTTGTTCACCCTGAGGCTGGAATACACTGTCAGCTTACTGGAAAGCACTTTGTACATAACAACACACGCTGTAGTTTATTTTAACTTAGTGCCACATACACTTCCCTGGTACAGTGAATACTCACTAAAGCAACAAATATGCATTAATATGCAGCTGAAAATAGTCCCAGACACAAGTGTTAGCACCAGATTCTCCTTCTTGGGATCGGGAAACAGCGTTCACACCATCACGTCTCCATTGAAACCTTCATGATTGAACTTCACAGGCTTGTAGCTATACCTGGGTGATGTCGCCTCAATAACTAGAGGTGAATAGTTTTCATGAGGTTAGTAATACTCCCTATGACAACTAAACAGACTCTGAAATGAGCGTAGTTACCTTTTAATTAACAGGTAAACCAACATATGAAATGCACAAACGTCACCACAGTTCATCTGTGGTAGCTCTGATAACCCTTTGCTGCTTTACTCTCATTGGCTGTAATGTGTGTGTTTATATCTGTCTGTCTTACCTCTCTGATGGTCATGTCGTCCTCCAGATCTCCATCATCCTGCACAGAGGAGAAGAAGAACAGGAGAGCAGTGAGTACACACACACACACACACACACACACTGAACACTGACATGAAAAAACCCAAAGTGTAAAACACAAATACACAAGCAGTGATGAAATGGTAATACAATGTGGTCCAGCTGGTTATTATCTCCATAAACATTGATTTGTACTGTTCAACTCTGCCCCCCTTCACTGCATCTGTGCACAGAAGGTAAAGTGACACACTGAAAACACATTATCACCCATGCATCACATCAGAAGTGTTATACGGTGCCGCCGTGTTGAGACAGATGGACAGAAATGGAATGAGCGACTAAAAGAGCGACTACAGTACATTTAATGAGTGCGGGGGATGTGATGTATGAGATGTCAGAGCAGATGATCATTATAATGATGGATCTGCGGCGCTCTCGCAGCTCACGGCTCGTAACTGACAAGCTGATACCGCTTGAAACGCCGGAGTCAAACTAGCAACCCTGTGCTTTACAGAGAGGCAGCCAGAGAGGTCTGGGTGTTGGAAATGTACGACTGAGTGTCTGAGAGCGTTACCAGGGGGTGTGTACGCAGCTCAGTGTGTGTGTGTGTGTGTGTGTGTGTGTGACGGGCTGTGAAATACGATTTCAAAGTGTTTAGTCATGTGCTTGAGTACAGGTATTTACTTTCTCAGGATTGAACGCAAGAGAACATGTGTGTGTGTGTTAGAGAGAAGGATAGGCAGTGTGTGTGTGTGTGTGTGTGTGTGTGTGTGTGCGTGTGTGTGTGTGTGTGTGTGTGTGACCCAGGGGCTGATGGGAGCCCTGAGCTCATTTATCCCCATCGCTGTGGTGGCTGACTTGTCGGTAACCCTAGCAACTGCTGCCGCAGGGTAGAAAAGAGGTGCCCTACTGTAGGATTATGCAAGCAGAGGCCAGACGTGCCTGGAGTTGATGAGACAAAACAAACACACACACACACACACACACACACACACACACACACACACACACACACACACACACCTACAGCACTTTATCACTGCTGTTCCACTGATCATTCTGCTTGTCACACAACATAAGGGCACTCTGAATGTCGCCAAGACACACTGTTGTTCCGGGGTAAAATGTAAACTAAAGAAAGATGGGGAGATCATATCACTTTGGTGTGTGTTTGTGTGTGTGTGTGTGTGTGTGTGTGTGTGTGTGTGTGGAGGAGAGAGAGAGAGAGAGAGAGAGAGGTGGGCCTATGCATGCAAAATAGGTGCTTTCAGAAAGATTAGCTGCTCGATTAAGAGAGCAAGTCTCTGCTTTTCAATACATGAGTGAGGCGGAAGTGTGTGTGTGTGTGTGTGTGTGTGTGTAGTATAAACTGCGCATCTGCATGTGACCAACAGTGAAATCAGATGCACTGTGTGGGCACATTCAAATGAGATTTGAATGATGAGCGTGCAAGTGTGTGTGTGTGTGTGTGTGTGTGTGTGTGTGTGTGTGTGTGTGTGCAGAGGCATGTGAGAGGCAGCAGGACTGCAGAGTGCTGACAATAGGCCGATGAAGCTGTAGTGCTCTGCTGTGCTGTTTCTGTGACCAGACAAAGATTAGAAAGGTCCGCTGCTCTTCCTTTCCCCTCCTCTCGCAGCGATCCATCTTTACTTCCGTGCAGCGACCACTTCACCCAATCAGTGGCAACCGTCCAAGACTGGGTCAGCAGGGAGCACACAATCTACCGCCAAAGACTGCTGCATCATACACACGCACTGTCGGATTATGTAGTCAGCGAAAGTATATAATGAAAAGAGCGTGGTGATGGTGGAAGTTTGGATAGAAAGGAGCTTTCTCTCCGGGATAGTCCCTTTTTTACATTTCCAATTTTTAGCATATTTGTCTTCTGATCTAAAGGGTCAGTTCATCCTGATTAAAAAATACTTTGTCTTTTACACCTACTATCTATTATATGGCATTACAATAAGTTTTGGTTTTATTTGGAGTTTCTCAACAATGAAAAGAAAAAGTACATTATCACTGTTTTGTTAAAAAAAATTCCTTCTGTAACTGTGTGAAGGATTCATTTTCAAAACAAAAAAAAAAAGAAATGTGTCTCAAAATCAATGTTCTGGTTGCTAGCATGCTAGCATATTTAGCAGGTATAAAAGTTACCATCCCAGTTTAGTGTGTTAGCTAACATCTGCTTATTAAACAAAAGTACTGGACAAGCAGTAATTTTATGTTTCATCCTCTGAGGACTATGAACGTCCGTATCAGATTTCACTGTAATCCATCCGAGATCTGCGTTTCCATAAAAACTAGAAATGTGAACTTCAAGTCGGCGCTGGAGGGAAAGTTCGAGGATCACCAAATTCATCGGGAACAATGAATATCGGTTCACGGTGAGAACCAAGTTTTCAATGCCTTGAGGAGCACATACTAAATTTCCATTCACCCACATTGTGCTGAGGTGTCGGCAGAAATCTGACAGACAAATCACTCAGAACCTGGGAAAGTTACCAGCAGGATACGACTGGACGTACATGAGATTATATGTAATGTTAATAAATTCTTGAAGCTTGTTCTTCACATAAGGTCGTTGTAATCTTCACTCTTAACAACTTCTGAGCTCATTACATCAGCTCATCTCAGCCGACGGCTTCCCCTTGCACCCTGGAAGCAGCTCGTATTAATACGTGCAGACATCTGAATTTAGCATCAGTATCGTCGTCATTAACACCCTGCTCTCTATCCTGTGTGACGGTTCCAATGACAAAGGACGTTATCGAGTTTGTCTCTGGTGCTAATTTTAGTAATGTGTGTTGTTTCTTGCTGCTGCCTGAACCACATGGTGCAACAGGGAGACATTGCAACAATAATTACTTATCACTCATGTGCAGCCAATGCTCCCTTTGCTTATTGCTTTCACATTCTATTACTAGTCTATTATTAGTCCTGTCTGTGTATCTGATTGGATTGCAGAGAGTTTAACACAATTGTGAAATGACATCATTAATGACTTTGGTCTAACTACAGTTGTGTGAGCAACAATGACGCTGCACCTGTCGTAACAACTTCAGTGAAAACTCTGTGAAATGGTGGGTAGTGAATCTTTATGGTAATGCTGTGGTACTGTGGTTATTATTTGGGAAATGACACCCTCAAAAATCACTGGATACACCTTGGAAACGTGAGACTGAGTGACGCCCGTCAAAAGCCCAAAGCTCTTTTTAATAATGACGCTCCAAAAATCTGCGATGGAGTCCTGACCCTGAAAGGATCTGATATCAGGCATCACATCAGTTCACCCTCAAAACAAATTACAGTCAGTATGTCACACTCATCTTCTCCTGATAAGTTCACTTTCTCTCTCTCTCTCTCTCTCTCCTGTGTATCTCCTCCGTGTTGTCTGAAATTATTCAGGAAATGAAAACTTCATCCTGTCCCCTGAATATTCCTCCTATCAGATACCTGAAGGACATTTTTAATGGAGTCGGTGTCTTTGTAATACAACTTAAAAACTTGCTGTCGTTTAACCTATTCTGAAAGAGCTAACACTTGACCCTGATGAGTTTAATAATTACTGCCCCTATTTCAAAATTCATCTTTCTTGCTCTATAAAAAAAAACGAGTATCTTACACTGTAATCTCTTCTGTTTTATCAATGAGAACAGCTTTAGTTTGATATGATCACTGAGACCTTCAGCCGTGGTACGTCACATAGGAAATCATTATCCTCTTGGACTGTCTGGACAGCAGCAACAACAAACGTTAGCAAGCTAATGTTAGCTCCTGACGCCCCAAAACATCAACTTTCAACTTTATGCTGACGACACTAACGTATGTATTCCAGCTCTGTCATGAACGCCAGAAAGAAAGAAACTGCACTTTCTTCCAAACTGAATATTCTGCCATAAATGACAGAGTGTCCCTAAATGTTGTGCAGCTGTATCCCCCCAAAAAAACTGACATGTGTGTAATTGGACTCAGCAGTTCGGCTCCAGATGTCACAATGACTTAGCTCATTATCTCCCTGCATCAGTGATAATTCTGCAGTTATTCTTCATAATAATGTTGGATAAACACGTCAGACCGGTTCTGAAATCCTGTTTCTTTCAGCTCGAGATCAAATCATTCCTCTCTAGTCATTCGTACTTTCCTTTACATCAATCTTTATCAGAGCTGTAACTGGCTCTGAGATCTGCTCTATCTTTTTCTTTGACTGTTGTTCAAGGTGGACAACTGAACATACGAGTATGTATACAACTACTTTCGTGTTTTTGCCTCAGGGCTTTGTTTTCTGTCACTGCTCACGGAGGGTGATGCTGATGCTGATGCTGCCAACAGCTAAACAACTTTGTTAAGGCGTCAAGCAATGAGGACATATACTATTACTCTACCAACACTTAAATGCAACTTGTCTTTTCTCTTTTGCATCAAGTGTGTGTGTTCCCACGCAAGTGTGTATACGTCAAGAAATAAAGACGCACATTCCCCAACAACCTGAAGAAACAACAGAAAAAAACACTGTGAGTGAGATGCCAAAAAATAAAAAATAAATAAAAAACTGAGCCCACCAGCCATCATAAATAAAGGATGCATTACGGAGATGCAAGAGTGGGGGGAAAATAATGAGAAAAACAGTGAGGAGAGACCGAGAGGCTGGGCGGCATTATTCTTCTGAAACAGACTACTGATGTCATTTACCCTGCATCAATATTTCACGGCCTAGATGGAGGGATGGTGGGGAGGCGGGGGCAGTTAACAGAGATACAAAAACGGCAGGAGGACTTTAGAAAGGAGGTAAAGATGGACGACGAGCGCGAGAGATGAAACTGGATCCGGAAAGAAAGTGAAGCGGTGAGAGCGGAGCAGGAGGAAGAAGAAGAGGCAATAACTTGATTTCTCCTCCGCCGTGGGGGTGTAACTCGGAGGTCTTGGGGGAGAAAAGAAAAAATTGATACATTTATTTGTCCATATTTCTGCTCAGGCCCACGGAGCCTCGACGGACTCAGAGAAAATGCTGTAATCAGCAGC